AATGCATTTTTATTTTACTGTATTTAGAAGTGTTGTTGACTTATATCTGTAGGTTTTCCTAATCTGTATTATCGTTTAACTTATTGTGGGAAAACCCGATTATCAAACTGCAGGTTCCTCGAATTTCCCGAAAAATCGAAATGGTGGTTAGGAGGTCGTCCACTTCAACTTGCCTAAGGTCAAAATTATCGTTCTGGAGTTAGATTAGTATAGTCCACGGCGCGAAGCGCCGTGCACACCTTCAATTTACATGCAGAACAACGTACTCCCAGCGGCCGTGGAAAGCAACTTCGACTACATTTTTTTTACTTTACACTTCTAAAAATTTCCTTTCTCTGCCTTCCCTATTTCCACCACCCCCAAAACTCTATAACCACCGTTTTTGCAGGACAAAATGTTGGGACTAGGGGTATATGAGTGGGCCTACATAAGCTACTTTTTCCGCTGATTCATCCAACAACAGGAGCTATTCGGATCAAGTATAAGTAAGTAAGACTAGGCATGGTTAATAGCCCAGCTTCTGGTGCATCGACGCGTCCATGGATGTGTGGTAGGGAAGCTGAGCCGAAAACAATTCAGCTGCGAAGATCCCTGCACTATACAGTAATAATACCGCCAGTCTGTGTGGAAGCCTTCGGTGGATTACAATCGAAAGTCCATTTGTGCGACGACATTTGCCTGCTATTGACTAAGGTTTCATCTGCGGAAATGACTTTAGGAACTAGCCGTCTACTCAAATGTGAAGCGAGATCGGACACGTTTTCTACCAATTCCCAACGCAGCACACGAAGAAAGGAACTGCGGTAATCGAAATGGTGTTAATGAGTAAGGCGATCAACGAGGATATTGCGCAAGCCCTCATCACCATAATTCAACCCAAGATAAAGCCTCTTTGTCAGCAACGAGGGTCATCGTTAGAAATGACAAATGAATTTTCGTCCTCTCAGCAACCCCCCCTAAGGCGTGGGACTAGTCACAACGGCTACTGACTACGAGGAGGTCCAAACGGGGGAGAAGCCCTTCAGCTCAGGTCATTATTGCATGGGAGTCTGAGAAAAAAAGCACTGTTCCAGGGCTTGAAAATGCAAGAGGTGTACCTTTAAGAGACTCAATATAGCCGTTTACAGAAGAAGGTCCTGCAAATGTATACTTGACAAACTCTCGTTCAGGCTGTAAAATTACACAGATTTATATTCATATTGCAAAACAGGGATGGCTGGGTCACTGTTTGTGGGCAGTTTGAAAAGCCTGAGAGCGTTGAATGCAATTAGATAGGTCAGGATGAGGTAGGAATGACGAGAAATTACCCTGTGTTAAGTTAGTTACTGGCCTTCGACCGATTAGTTTCAGGTCGTGGACACTGCAGTGTCCACACAGGGTCGGCTTTTGCAAACGGGAGGATGTTCGCCGCTTCAAACAATGCTAGTGGTGCACAAAAGTCAAATAGCTACGAATTGAGGCGAATTTTCGCATTCTAGTTGTGTGTATAAGTATAGAAGAAGAAGACCCTTTGACATCGTCGTCTGTTAGACATCCTTTGAGTTTCCTTAATCACCCCTTTAGTCTTCTTTTCCTGGCCACACTAGAAGATATTCTTGAATCCTTCTAAACACAATGCAATTTGTTGCACCCCTTTAAAATACTTAACAAAGGCAAGTTTATCATGGTTTCTTTATGATGTCAAAAAGACATTCGGTAGATAAGGAGTCCCGGAAAAATGGTTTGCGGTTGTCCACAAAAATGCTTACACTTACATCTGGAGAATCGGTATAAAACATGAGCTTGGCTACGGTAAATTCCCTATCTAAAGAAATGCTAAGCGACATTCTGAAGTGGGTTTTCGAGTGGAATATGTTACTTAAATAAGGTTGTAATATTGATTATCCTGCGGCTTAATCACAATATAGCTCCTTCAAGACAGGATGCCGGTTTTTGAACTAGCTTCGTTCATACTGCCTGCAAAAGGTAAACTCTTTTACTTTTACTCTTTACTTTTTACGATTAGGAAATGTTCGCTCATAAAACACAGTTTCCGTAATTTTTTAATGTTGTCTACAAAGAATACAGCATAATTCACATCCATTGCAAAATGCTAGGAGTAATATGTGACCTCTTTTTTATACCGTAGAGAAATTTGCAATTTTTTTCTACACCGAAGGTATACAGCATTTAATTTGGAGACTTTTATTTCAAGCTCAACGGCCATTAGAGTTCAAAATGATTCAGTTTTTTTTAACCGAAAGATACCATCTTAAAGTATGTAAGTTGAAGAAGGTATAATTTGCTACCGAACGAAAACAAGAATATTTTCATTCATTTT